GGGGGGGGGGGGGGGGGGGACTTAGTCGAAGTGAATCTCTCCATTTCTCTGAACATCGTAGTCGTAGGGACTGGTGCAGCAAAGTCCAGACCCCAGGGCCCATCCCAAACCTGCCTGTTTGGCAAAGGCCTGGAGAAGCGCCTCCATGGTGCAGAAGCTCGGGCTTGCGAGCAGAGTTGTGGATCTACAAGAGTCCGGAGATACGGATGAAGGCCCGCATAGCTGCTCTCCGGCTCTACAAACATCTATCTCCGAATTCCCGCCACCTACTCTCCCGGTAGCGATCGGCCTGCCGTGAGAAGACCTTGAAGGCCATCGAGGACCCCTTGCTGTTCAAGAACTGCTGCTCTTGACCTGGAGGTCGAGTTCGCAGGGGAGTGTAACCCAGTGCACCCCCTGCACCTCTAAGCCGACCCGAAAAAAAACCCTCGGTTCACTTCGGTCGAGACCTGGCCTGCATTCTCTGCTTCCTTGGAGATCATGATCTTCAGCAGGGAGTTCAGCAGGTGCTGGCACCTCCATGGTGGTTCCAGGCTAAAGCTTGAGTGCCTCTGGCTTTCAAGTGCGCCTCCCGATGCAGCTGAGTGCTTTTCTCAAGCTTTAGGCTTTAGGCGCGCCGAAAATAGCGACGGCTTTGAAGACCTGAAACGATGCCTACCCCTCTCACGCACCCGAGCCACCGAGGATCTGCGGTGTCTCCATAAAGGGCGCGGATGGTGCACAGGAACGTGTCCGTGTCATCCTAGAGCGCTGTGAGTTTCAGCGGTATGACTTACACAAGACCACAGGGCTCAGAGAAAGGCTTCGGGCAGTTGCATGTGGAGACCTGGAGACCACCTGCTGCTACTTCTCGTGACTAAATCAGACCTCGGGCATCGACATGCGTAGTTAGAAATCCCGAAATCTTAAACCTTGAACCAACACCAAGACCCTGAACTGAAGCCCTAAGGCTATCTAAGGCCCTGCTTTTTTCAGGTCTCTGAAGCGGCGAGGGCCTGGCCTCGTCCTTGATGTACTGCGACAGCTGTGCCAGGTAGAGAGGCTGCTGCTGGAGGATCCAGAGCATGCGGCTGTAGGTCTGCGCAGCAAAGGGCTGCAAAGGATAGAACTGCATGAAGTCCCGGCTTGTGTGTTTTGGGTGTAGGATGGTGTAGGGTAACTACCTGTCACACCGCGCGACCCCGTAACCAACTTCTGGCACCCTTATGATCTCTGCCAATGGCATCGAGCACAAACCTCACGAGTATTTGCTGTGAGAAAGCGATGCAAGAGCACCGCGAGCGTGGCCTCAGAATCTGGTCAGAACCGCCAAACCATAAGGACGCCCTCCCTCCACCGGCCCTGAGCAAAACTCTGTCCAGAAAACATACGTGTACATGCATAATCATACACGCACATGCATAAACCCGGCCGCAATCTGCTTCGGCATCCGCTCGTCCACAAGCGGGCTTGCGGTGGTTGGCTGAGCGACATGGGGCCACCAGCCTGCATCAGTTGTTGTCCGGTGTCGGTGTTGGTGTTGGTCTTGTTGCGGTCGTTGTTACTGTTGTTACTGTTGCTACTGTTGCTGTTGTTGCTGCTGTTGTGGTTGTGGTTGTGGTTGTGGTTGTGGTTGTGGTGGTCGT